ACCCTCTCGCCGTTGGTAATTTACTGACGAAGGTTTTACCAACGGATTTTACCAACGACATTTTTCCGTTAGAAAACCTAGTTACCAACGAAAATCTTGGCAATTTCCGTTGGTGATGGCGCACATTCTTATAGTGATTCATGTTTGCAAACATATCAGGTTGCTAAAATTCGGGGCATTACACAAATCATGACAACTAGTAATTTACATTTGCCCATTTAATAATATTGAATAATATTGAAAATTTTAAATGAAGTTTTTTCTGTTTTTTTCAACACATTATTAATTTGTTAAAATATATTTTCTATCTTTCAAGTTGTAGTTTGTAGAAAATGAAATTGATAAATTTTGTCAACTTTACAATAAAAAGACCATCTTTCTGAAAGAAAATAATAATTATAAACTTCTAATAATTATTTTGCTTTAAAATGAAATAATTAAACAAAGAGCGTTTACATAAATAATATATAGGGTTTGATTTGTTATTTTAAACTTAGTGTATTATGGTCTATCTAGCTATTATAATGATAAATTTGTAAATACTCTATTTTTTTCGTGCAAAATATATTTTTGTGTTACAACTTACCAGTGAGTAAAATACGATATTAAAAGTGTAAATTTGCAAAATATAATATGCAAATTGTAAATATATCATAAATGCATAACGTGTTTTGTAAATTTCCCTTTAATAAAGTAATTAAGTACTATTTTCGTACAAAATCATTATGGAAATAATATGCATATGTTTAGTAATTAGTATTAATTCAGTTATAAAAATTTATGCCCTTGTTTAGTGGGGAATACAATAAGATTTTTAGTATACAACAATCTTTGAAGACGATAGGGTATACGTTTGAAGAGGATACACGGCTGAAATATGATTCTCGAAATATGTAAAATTACGTTGTAACTTGTAACGTGAAAAGAGAGCTAAATAAGGGACACAAGGGAAAAACAATACCATAAGACTCCTGCGACAATTAAGACAAACAACAAATAGTACCGTATTCGCATTTGGGTAAACCTCTTTCGATCGATGACATGTTGTCTATATAGGAAGCACATGTTGTCTATATAGGAAGCATTGGGAAGAAAGCATTGCAGTTAAGACATGAATAGTTGAGGAGGATAGGGATAGGGATAGCTTCCATAACCATTGAATTTATCATAGCCAATGGCGGTTGGTAAATATGAAAACTCAAGAGGATCGTTTTTCTTTGGAGCAGGAGCAGCAGCAGGTGGACCCAATAGGTTGCTCGAGCATTCTCCAAACTGAAACCAACACAGCTTTGCGCGTTTTCGCCCTTTCCCTAACGCCTTCAAAAGTTTTTTCGGATTCACTACCCCACATACTTCTACTATTCCTTCTTTATCCATTTTGAAATTCCGTACTGAATTTATCAAAACAACATATTATTAATTAGCACACCTTAAACATAGAAATAACAGAAAATTTTATCCAGTTACCTTGGCTACTTCTCATTACTCGTGATACCGCCTGTTGCCACCCTCGACTCCTGGTGTCCACTTTAATAATACAAGTCTGTATCATTAATTAAAAGAGATATATGAGAGCCATTATAGTACAAGGAAATGATTATTGAAAAGTAAGTACCATGAATGCTAAGGGTTCCTGCTGCGTGACTACAGGTTGAGGTCGAGACAGCCGGGCTGCTGCTGAAACAAACTTCCTAATAAGAGGTCTCACTTTATTGCAGATTTTTGCTGATTTCAGTTCTTTGTACATCTTCTTCGCGAACTCCATAACGATGATATATAACACGTTAATACGTAAGGTGCAAGAAGATGACTTGTCGTTTATAAATTGTAGAAAGAAAATTTAGGTTGAGGAATGCCGGACCTGAGGTGAGGCCCAAGAGCCCGCTGCCTCAGGCCCAGCTAGGTAGGGGGCCCAAAAAAATATGGTTCTCTCCTTTTATTTTCTTTCTTATTCACGTGTTCTCAAGTCTCAACCTCTCTTCTTCTCTGTTCTCTCCAGCCAAAAACCCTAGAAAAAATTGGTACGATTTCTCATTGCTATTAAATTCCAATAACTCGTCGGAAAAATATGTTCTTTTTCTCGTTGCTCTTATGATTCAAGATTCAAGAAATCTGAATTTTTTTTGGTTTTTTTGTGTGTGTTGACAGTGTTGTAAGTTACAGCCACAAGAGTGGCTGACGGGCTCTGAGTCGCTGAGAAAATTACCAGGGGAGGCGACTCAGGCGAGAAGTAGAGCTTGGTGACGAAACTACAGTGAAGGTTTGCCCTTGCCCCTTCGACAATTCGACTTTAATGGAACTATGGAAGTTTCAGTTTCATTTCATAAATGGAGTTTTAAGTTTAATATGTGTAGTGTTAGCCTGTTAGGTTTTCCTTTTCTTTCTGTTTACTGGTTTCGATTTCTAGTTTATTTTAAAAAAATTGATTGAATTAGTAGACGCCAAAATTACTCGCTTGAAAAGTTTCATCCTTTCCTGTCCAATTCTCTATGACATAATGAGGGGGCAGACGCAGAAGTTTAAAGTTAGAGGGCACAATTGAACTTGCAAAGAAGTTGGGAGAAATTTTACAATCGAAAATTTACGTCCAAAAAAATCATACCACATTTAATTTTGCATCCGAAAATTTATATGAGATATGACTTTTTCGAATGTAAAATTTCGAAATTTTTTGATGTCATATTACATATAAAATTTTCTAATAAAA